TCATTAACTCTCTTAAGTTTCCTGGGAGAAATATTCACATAAATTAATTAAATTAATCAATTCTTCCCCATGTTCTTTGTTCTTCCATAAATTCTTTGGGGTAAAGAGTACTGTCTTATGGGTGTTAAATTCTGGTTGGTACCTAGCTCAGCACTTGACCTGTCAAACAATTGCTTGTCGAATGAATGTTGAATGCATACATTTTTGAATAAGCCAGATCTTTGCTGTTGAGGGATGCTAGTTGGCTGATTGTATACCATCTGTATTGGGTCACTGTGAAAATAATTTTTCTGTGATATTGCCTTCAGACACATCTATTTACCCTGTGTCTAATCAAAAGGCTTTTCTTCTTCCAACTCCTTCCATCACAGATATTCTCTGCTCCATTATCACTGGAGCAGTTACTGGCAGCATGGCAGAGTGGGAAGCGTTTTGGGCTCCCAGCCCAGCCACTTACCTGTTTATAGAGATTACCTGGGAAATGCATCTAACCCCTTTCAATGCCCATTTCTTACACTTTTAAATTTATTTATTAATTTTAGAAAGAGAGAGGAAGGAAGAGAGAGAAAAACATCCATTTGTTGTTCTACTTACTTATGCTTCATTGGTTGATTCTTGTATGTGCCCTGACTGGGGATCAAACTCACAACTTTGGTGTATCGGGACAATGCTCTAACCAACTGAGCTACCTGGTCAGGGCTAAATATCTGTTGCAATATCCTCTCTTGAGGAACTCTTGTGAGCAAAATTGTCTATGTGAAGCTCAATGAACCTAGGTAGAAACGAGGTATTCAGGAGGTAGAAACGACCATTAATTTACTTTAGTCTATTGCACTTGACCCTACCTAAGTCTCTTGCTCATCTTTGTGCATATCAGGGATTTGGATCCTGTATTCAGGTGCCTTCATTTTTGTGAACTTTGATTCTGAGAGCCCATATACATCACCACTCTCTCTCTAGTTTCCTAGATAAATAAGTTTCTACATATTACAGGTTTTCTGTGGAACTCCCATTTCAAAATAGTGTCTCTTTCTGTCCTCTAAACTATTGAAATGGCTACAAAAAATTTAAACATTTTGGTATCTAGTTTTGGAATCTCCCAGCCAATCTCTTATACCTGAAAATAACACAGAGTATGTTGTCTGATGCTTCCTAATTTTAATCAGAAAATATAATTATCCTATTTCTGGCATGTCATGGACTACCTGACTGGAACAAGAAAGAAAGGGCTTTACATGGCAAGTATAACCTGGTATTACAGTATGAAAGACGCCCTGAAGGGCATCTGGACTCCAGGGTGGTGTAATGAGAAGACTTAGGCTGTTTCTTGCTACTGTCAAAGGCTGTGCTCTCTCCATAAGTAAGATCATTTGTGGTGCAGGCCTTCTCCTCCTTTGATTGCCTCCTCTCTCCTGGCCACATTAGTATCTTATTGCCACTGTAACAAATGGCCACAAACTTAGTGGGGTGAAACAACACATATATTTTCTCTCTGCCTCCCAAAGATTTATAGCAACCACAAATAAAAAATTACTTTCACCTCACCCCAAGGTCCCTAGATGTCTCAACCATTACAGCTTCAAGTCCAAAATCTCATCTAAGTCTCATCAGCTCAAATCTCAAGATCTTCAATAATGTATATTGCTTATGAGTGAGGTTCTGGGTATAATTCATTCGTAGGCAGAATCATTCTCTATTTGTGGACCTGTGAAACTAGAAATCAATTATTTTCTCCCAAAATACAATGGTGGGATATACTTAGGATAACAATTTTAGACATTCCATTCAAAAAGGGAGAAAATGAAAGGAAAAAGGATTCATTGAGCAGTCCCAAGCAATTTTTAAATCCAGTAGGGCCAGCTTCCTTAGGTTTTAGGGTCTGGGAGTAGTACTCTGTGGCTTGTGTCTCTGGGTCTAAAGTTCTACCCGTTGAGTTTGAGGCTCTGCCCTGTGGGCCATCTTCCCTTTTTCATGAAGGCAGCATGCATTCATGAAAGTTACAGGTGAGTAGTTTTATCAGCTTGTCTCCTGTCTGTAGAATTTTGGTCACCTGACAGTGTTCTTTCATTTCATTTTTTTGTTGTTGTTGTTAAAAGTTTTAGTCTAAGCTGTCAGTGTTTCTGCTGCTATAACATTCTCAAAAACCTTGTGGTCTCCCATTATATCATGGATTCATTCCATGAGACAAGAGGGTCCTCCATAGATTTTTCCTGGATAATCCTATTTCTATTTCTGGCTTCTGCTAAGATGGTTGAGGGAATTCACGAGTCACATGCCTAATCTTGTTAAGAGTTATCTTTGTGCATAAATACTCCGATCTTTTTAGTCTTCTGATGAACTAGCTGGTATCCAATTACATACTTGGATTTCTCACCAGAGCATCTTTCCTGATAGTATATCTCCTAATTTTACAATCTGGATAGGCTGAGAATTATCAAGCTTTTAAAAAATATACTAGTATATATAACAGTTCTTTAATGTATCTTTTTTCTTGCATTTTACAATAAACAGCAAGAGGAAAATAGCACCTTGAACATTTTGTTTGGAAATCTCCTCAGCCAAATTATTTCTTCCAAGTGGTGCTTTCCATCCAACTGTAGGATACAGCTCAGCTAATCTTTCTTCCGTTATAACAAGGGTCTCCTTTCTTTCAGTGTCTAATAACGAATTCGTTTCCTTCTGAGCTTTCACCAGGAGCTCCTTTAATGTCTGTGCTCCTACCATCAGTCTGTTTATGATGATTTAGATATTCTCTAAGAGAATATTGGTTTTCTCTTCCACACTCCTCACTTCCTTACAAGTCTTCACTAACAGAGTCATTAATGCCAATATATCTACAAGTAGTCTACTGTAGGCAATCTAGGTCTTTTATCATGCTCCTTGAAATTCCTCAAGCTTCTACCCATTATCAAATTCCAAAGCCATCTCCACATTTTTAGGTACTTGTCACAGTGGCCGGCACTCCACTTCTAGGCACTAAAATTTGTGTTAGTTTCCTACTGCCACTGTAGCAAATCACCACAGACTCAGTGGTTTAAAACCACACAAATGAATACTCTGATAGTTGTGGAGGTCAAAAGTTTAAAATGAGTTTTGCAGGGCTAAAATTAAGGTTGGGCAGAGCCAGTTCTTTCAAGAGGCTCTGAGGGGGAGAATCTGTTTGTTTGCCTTTTCCAACTTTCAGTGGCTGCCAGCATTCCTTGGCTTGGGGCCCCTTCCTCCATCTTCAAAGCCTGTCGCTCCATCTTTGCTTTTGTCCTCTGACTCCTCCAGTGTCCCTCTTTTAATGATCATTTTTAATACATTGAGCTCACAGTAGCCCTGCCATCTCAAGATCCTTAACCTAATCACACCTGCGAAGTCCCTTTTCCCATGTCACATAATAGTCACAGGTTTTGGATATGGAGATATGAACATACTCTATATTAATCAGCCTATCATACTGCTATTCTTTCAGTTTTCCCAACTTTTAGGAGGCTGATAAACATGTAGTAGAGGAAGGAACTAATTTATGAGTCAGAAAACCTAGATGTTAGTCCCAGTTGGGCTACTAAAAAGGGGTAATAAGCCATTTTGCTTCTTTGGGCCTCAATTTTGTCTGCTGTAAAATGAGAGGATTAAACAGTGATTGCCAAGGCCCTGTAGGACTCTCTACTATTATGGTTCTCTGGTTCTGGGCTGTCACTGCAATCAAAGGCTTCTTGACAAAGAAGAGATGATGACTTCAGTTATCAAAAAGTGGGGAGTGAATCAGGCCAAAGTGGCACTGTAGTTGGTGCAGAGTTTCTTGTGAGGTGACTGTTCAGTTTCCTGGGGTTGTTCTTGCCAGATTGTGGACCTGTTACACTCAGCAGCCATCAATCAGGGCAAAAGCGTTATCAAGCACAGTTTCTATTAGAAGGTAGTTGGATGGAGTAAGGAAAAAGAATCATCACCTTTAATGTGCTGAGGGGTCAGGATGACTTAAATGTTAGAAATTGAGGTCTGAGTAAAGAGCTTCTTTTACTCTCTGCAGGGCAGGTTGTAGCTGAGAAAGGTTGGGGAAGTATTTAAGGTCCATGTCTCCAACAGGAGGAAGAAAGACTGTCAGAGCAAGTATGCCGTGGCTTTTGCTGAATTCTTGGAGCTGCAGACACGGCTGCTGCGGCCAGCATGTAACCGAGCTCCAGAGAGTTGGAGGTGGCATCGGGTGCTAAGCCCTTCACAAGCAAACTGGGAAAGTTAACTCGAGCCAAGGCCTCCAAGAAACCAGGTCACGAAATTTAAGCACTGTGCCTAGGAGAGTTCAGAAGAGGAAAGTTATTTTTTCTTCCAGCTTGTCCTGTGGGACTCTGTGCCATGGGGGATTCATATGCAATATTTCTATTGCTTCTAAAGGGCAATGAGTATGACGAGAATTTGGAAAGAGGCCCTTTCAGTAAGGCCATAGGATTTTTCTAAACTGGTCTGCAAGGCTAGGTTCAATCTTGTGTTTTTAAAAAGAGGAATCTTCTATTCTGCACTCAGATGAGCACCCTGCCTTCGCGCCTTCATAATTTCAATTGTGTTATCTCCTCTGCCTGGGAATCCTTGCCCATATCTTCACATTTGAGCATCTTCCCTCTTCTTCAAGGAGTGGCTCAAATGCCATGCTTGAAGATGAAGCCTTTTAATCCCTCTATTTCCAATGATCCTCTCTGTCTCTTAATCTCCTGTTTTATTTCTGGTACTTAATATTTTAGAGGCTTGGTCATAGTAGGTATTCAAATATACTTTTCTTTCATTACATTATAATGTCATTGAAGAATTTATTTGTCTTTGCATCTCTCATAGTACCTAAAGCAGGAAGGGATTAATATGTATAAAAAGAATGAATAGAATAAAGGTCTAACTTCACACTTAAGCACAGACTCATTGGTTATATAAGATACAATAAATGAGTACGTGTGGATATCTCTATTGATATGCAGTAAGTCCTCACTTAAATAGGTTCTGTGACTTTAAGCAAAACAATGTGTAAGGAAATCAATTTTACCATAGGCTAATTGATAAAAACAAGAGTTAGGTTCCTATGGCATCTCCTCAAGGTTATACCAAAACGATTAGCATAAGGATGTTACTTGAGGACTTGCTGTACTGATACTGAGATCAATATTGATATAGACGGCAATGTCTTGGTGCTCAGTATAGAGCTGAGTATAGGTATTATGGGAGATGGAAGGAAGTATAAAATGAGATCCTAGTCCTTAGTAATACCATATTATGTTGTAGAGAGCAAAATATCAGTGAGCAGTAGTGCTGGGTGGGGCTAAGTTGTGTGGCAGATACCACTCCTGTGTTTTAGAGAAGAGGATGGTCTCCGTGGACTGGGGTGATTGGGGATTGTGGAGGAGGTAGAATTGAGTAGGTCCTTGAGGACATTTGCATCAAACACTGAAGGTCTTTTTTCAAATATGAAACATTTTTATGTTTGCCTACATGACAACAGTTATATCTGTAGTGTTGGTAGTTTATAAAATAGAATGAACAAAAGTGGTGCAAGTGCAAGATTAATATACACATATTTTCAATATATGGTTTTAAGTCTGTCTCCAGCCAAGCTTGTGACAAGTATGGATTTGAGGGCTCAAGAACTCCAAGGCTCCTTGGTGGACTGTGGTGCTCAGGGAACCTGCGGAGCAGGACCTTAATAAATACCCGTGAAAGTTGATGGATTTCTGGTTAAGATTTCTTAATTTTTATACTTTTAATTCTTAACTCTGTCTGCTAAGGTTTAGCTTCTTTGTTGTTGAGTAGATATCTCCTAAAACTTTTTGTACTGATCTCAGAAGCTTTCTTAAAAAAAATTAGATTGAAATGTATTAACAATTCAGTTAATGAAGTATATAAAACCCACAGTCACTAACAGGGCATTTTAAAGAAGGTTGGGGTGGGAGAAGCAACTAAATTTGATGACTGAAACATTTTCCTTTTCAAATGTTCATAACATTCAGGAGGGGTAGGAAACCAGAAACCATTGTGGTTAAACTGGTGATATGACAGTGTGGCTTTATTGAATATATAATATTATTTTATCTGTAAAGTGTTTTGCAATGCATGCTGAGTCAAATGCAATAAAAATACTAATACAATATTCAGCATTGCAAATATAGAGAAAAATGTATTGTTTTATGAAATAGAATTTAATATGATTTCCAATGATTCTGAATATTTAATATAGAAGAAATGTCTTACTTTTTTGCTTTTCATGCTCCTAACCAAATGATCAGAATAAAAACAACCACTTGAAAATAAATTCTGAAAGATTATTACTTAACATACTATAATACCTTTGCTATTTGAACTCTTGGGTTCTAGCCAGCTTGACCTGACTCATGTGGGTCATTCAAAATGTGAATCCAGGTTTTGCTGGGATGAGCCTCTTGGTTTAGCTGAAGTTTCTGAGTTTGTGATAATTTAAAATTATCTTGTCTGTCACAACTAAGCAAGCATCTTGGCTTTCGTCTGGAGAACTGGAGAGAAATACTACTGCTCAATTTAACAACTATTTATTTGTTCCTTACTCTCTGATCTAATATGTGACATTCTTGGTAATACAGACAGCGTTTCCTGATTTCTTGCCAACGTACTGGTTTACAATCCTGCCCAGTGAAGAGTAAAGGCATATGTTTAAACACCACGCTGTGGGATGGAGATTCCAGGAGTGGCAGGTAATTAGAGAGCAGAGACAGGATCCTCGAGGTGGGACATAGCCAGCGGGGCTCTGACACCCGAGATTCAGGCAGGCTGCCCCAGCGTGTCCCCTCCAGTCCAAGGCTGTGGGTGTAGAAATACAATGGATGGTGTGCTGAAGTTTCGGGGGGAGTCAAAGGGAAGGGGAAAAAATCCTCCAGGCCTATCCTTCACTTAGCTTTTTATTTTTAACAAATGAAAAATACGTAGAGCAGTTGTCATTTGTTAAAGTGTAGCAGAAAGAGCGAAACAGGCCAGTGGAGGCTTCATCAGGAACACTCATTCAGAATGATGAATGTGGCTAAACACACATTTGTTCGTAAAACTTGCAGAGTGGCTGAGCATCATTAAGCATGAGAAATAGGTGCAGCATGCTGAGAAGAGAGGGGAGCAAACAGATGTTGTGAATTTTCACAGGCATCCTTCATCCACCAGTCCATCATTAATATAGTTGAAGGTGATCCTTTCCTTTTATTTAATAAGCACAAACAAAGTACATGCACTAGGATTCTGCTGAACACACGGTTTCCCCCTGTAGAAGTAAAGGCATGTGAGGATGGGGAGGGTATGCAGACAAATCAACTCTCTGAGTGCCCACAACATGATATGAGCTTTGGGGCTACAGCTAGAGCAGGTACTTCTTTTACTGTATTTTTCCTTTTCACTCGCCCTGCAGTCACCCTAACTGCATGATCTCCCTGCCTGCGCCCTGGGAGATTGTCGGGATCTTCTGCAGAGTAAAAAGCTTTATGGCTTCTGACCTTGATACTTTTTCTTTTTGAAGGGAGAAGTTTTTAGTTATTTTGGTATTTTTATTGATTTATTTTAAATCTCTATTGTTGAAAGTATTACATATGTCCCCCCCCCCCCCCCCCCCCCCCCGCCATTAACTTCTTCTAGCCTGCCCCTCTCTGCAACCCCCCACAACTCAGGCCTTCACCACCCTATTGTGTGTGTCCAAGGGTTATGAATATATGCATACAGGTTCTTTGGCTGATCTCTTCCCACTTAATCTCATCCCCACTTCTCTCTGAGATTCCACAGACTGTTCCATACTTCTGTGTCTCTGGATCTATTTTGTTCATCAGTTTATTTTGTTCATTAGATTCCGAATATGAGTGAGATCATGTGATACTTGTCTTTCTTTGACTGGCATATTTCGCTTAGCGTAATACTTTGATGCTTTTTAATTCTACTTCCTTCAGATGCACCCAGTTTTTGCAGCGATGCTTTACAATTTGTTTTATAAAATCAGTTGGCCAGAAACATTTCTTTTTCCATGTTGACAAAACTTTGACTCTACCTGTAACATGCAATTCTTCTTCTTTCTCTTCCTTCTCTTCCCTTCTACTTTCCTGGCCGGTGAGAGCATAGGTTCTTGGCTTTCACACTTACAGGCTCCCTTCACCTTGTGCATAGTCCAGGCTGCTGCTCTTCATCCCTTTGCTGTTTCCTTGCCTACCATCAAAAAGAGGGAACCCTGGCTTTTGTAACCTAATTTCTCAGTCTGCCAAATGAAGATAGTAATGTTTTCTTCCCAGGCTTGGTCCAAGTAAAGCATTTTGTGAACTCTTAAAAAGCACTCTAAGGTTATTTTCAATGCTGATTTATAATTAATTGAACAATGATTTCTCTTTAAGGCGTTTTCAAGCAGGAAACTTAAAATCCTTGTAGTCTGCTTTCCTTGAGTTTCACATTTAGCACCAGAAATATAATATTGGACCTGTGAAGCTGTGTCTGTTTTCAGAGTGTGTGTGTGTGTGTGTGTGTGTGTGTGTGTGTGTGTGTATGTACATGTGTGCCAGACTACCTGGGGAAAAAATCCAAAGGAATGGAAATCTAATACAGAGCTACTAATGAACTATGAAGAATAAAATAACTTACAATTTTACACTTGCTCGTTTCTTTGTACAAACTATGCATTATTAAGACCTTGAATACCTTAAGGCAAAGTGAGGAGCTCTGCAGTAAGTCATTTAGGGGAGAAAGTATCTGCTGGTCACCTCATATGTTTAACTTGCGACGTTTACTTTCTGAGCGTTGCTGCCTTCTGCACATGCTTTGATTCAGTATGTTGAGTTGAGTGTGTTTATTTGTGTATGCTCTTGTTTAAAGACCTACATGTCACTATCAGAGGGACCTGTTTGTGTTGAAAATACTAACGCTGCCAGGGTTTTGTGGCAAGGCTCAGACTCTCGCTAGCCCTGGGGGTCATGTTTAGCAGCGTTTATAGACCACAATGCTGGGGACTCAAGGTAAGTAATGAGAAGCGTTATTTTAGCCAACATTGAGTGCACATTCTTTCTAGAGGTAACACACTTGGTTCCCAAAACCTTACCAACATGACCATGTGTTTACATGCTGCCTGTGTTTTAATCATCTCCTTCCACAGGCCCCCGAACTCTCCTTGAGACACACGTGTCTTTGGAAACTTTGAGTAGCCCTGCAGTTTCTATAGTTTATTATTGAACATAAATATATCCCGAGGTTTGGAATGCTGTGTTTTGTCTGCGTGAATGATTGCCCTCAGGAAGAACATACGCACAACATAGACTCAAGCCGATCTTGGGAGCCTCAGTCATGGACTGTGGTCGCCACATGCTGCCGCCGAAACTTGGAGAACCCTGCTCGTCTTTCTCGCCGCGTGGGCACTTGGCCAAATGCGCAGCGCGGTGGGGAGTGAATGTGGAGACTTTGGGTAGCGTGATTTGTCTTCTCGCTTAATACCCTTTAAGACATGAAAACCTAACTATGAATGAGGTTCAGGCGTAACTGATGTTCTAGCCCAAGTGATTATCATTCGGGGACTTTGAGATCCAAGCCTCCTGCAGGTTGTCTGTGTTATGGCACAGGTAGCATTGACTGTGGTACCTGTTGGTACCCTGAATGGTATAAGAGAAAATATGTTTATTAGAGTGCATGCTAACCTCTGCTGGTACTACCAGAGGAGTGGGGGTTTGTTGTTCTTCTTGGTCATCTAAGCCAGACCCTGTCACGGCTTAGACGGGTGTCATGTACCTGGGCCTGGGCTTGGAAGCTAGTAGGCACATCCTATTACCCCTATACCTTAGTTTCTTCATTGATAAGATGGAGGCAAAATGGGACCAAACCCATAATTTGTTGAGAGGTTTAAATTTAACATCCCTCAGTTATTTAAATATCCACACTTTTTCTGGGTCTTTCTCAAGCACCAGTTGAAGGTAGTTGAGATACAGCTTTGCAATGAAAACAATTGACATTTTAGGCATGTCAATAAAAACTGGTTTTGCTCTCAGTCAGAAGTTGGCAAGCTATGGCCCGCTGCCTCTTTTCATATGTCCATGAGCTAAAAAGGACTTTTACATTTTAAAATAGCTGCAAAAGTCA